TATTCACTGCAAAGGGTTGTATTACAACAGTCCCAATAAAAGAATATCAGAAACTGCTTTTCCATCAGCAATGCCCATTATGCTTTCCTCCTTTAATTAGCAACATTCGCAAATGGAGATCTGCAACTTATTGGTTGCCAGTAATATAAAATTTGTGTTAACATGTCCAGGGAAAAATATTTTTTAAATTATTGGTATGTCACTGCCTGCTTTACCAGTCCCTTCTTGTTCAAAAATACTTAAATTATATGCCAATTCTGGTACATAAGGGATGTCATTAGAAATGACAAGAAAATTACACAAAAGAGAAAAAGATACCTATTTAAACAAATACATATGTTAAATGAAAAAAAATTAGACAGAAAACAAGCTGTCAATTAGTAACAATATTTGAAAAACAAATTAATATACATGTGTAAAAGGCTTTTGTACTGTACAGGTATATTCAAAAACACTAAAAGGCTTCTTGATTTAAAAGCAGAACAGAGATATTGATGCTGTGGGAAACACAAAATCCAGAGACCATCTGCTTGTACTCGGTTCTAAAGAAATATATTTACTCAAGGTGAGTAACAGGGAAGACAGCATTCAAGTGATACTTCAAACCCTGCTGTCAAGACCTAAGTTGTGACATGTCAGTGATTGTATGTTTGTCCCTTTCAATCATGGTACCTGCAAACATATTTTCCTCTTTTTGGCTTAACAGAAATAAATGCCGTTTGAATTGTTAGGCCTAGTGATCTGACATAGAATCATAGAATGCTTTGGGTTGGAAGGGACCTTGAGAGGTCATCTAGCCCAACCCCCCTGCAGTGAGCAGGGATTGAACCCGTGACCAGATAATTTGTATTCACACTACATTTCAGAGGAAAATTATAGCCTATATAATAAGTTGAAGATATCCTTCTGCTGAACTTGGAGATCAAAAACATATCTCAAAATCAACATGTTCTGGTTACTTCCTTAAACCCTCCTGCCACAAAGGGAACTGGAGTCCTACACAATCTTTGTCCAAGCTCTGGTAGCTGAACTCATTCATTAATCAAAGTAGCGCGTCACGACTGTTGACTATTGAACTACAAAGTCTTTTATAAAATTGGAGAAGATTTTAATATTGTTTAATCTTATTTTTTGTTTCAGTGACAGAAAAAAACATATTGTTGTTTGTTTTGAAGCAACAGTATAAAAGTTTTCACATGGATTTTTGCTGTTGAACATGAAATTCACAGATCTTAGGAGTTTTTGGTTATTTTTTTGGTGCCCATTTCTCATTTTATAGTATTTATTGAATAATGTCTGCTGTCTGAAGAAGACTGACTTATTCTCGAGGCAGGTCAAGCCTTAAGAAATTTAGGAATATTTATCGCTCAAACTTGTCACACCATTCCGCATGCCACAAGGAAGTGGAAGAAATTGGTGCTTGTTCCTGTAATACATCAGTTCTTGTTCTGTGTGCCACAGGCCATTTAGCATCAATTAACGTATCTATCAATACTGATACCTATACTCTAATTTCTGAGCCTGGAACTAGATAATAAGGAGATCATATCATTCAGAAATATCTTTATGTGCAAAAAATTTGTGATGAATTTGCATTATGAGTGAACATGGAAAACTTACGTGTGCATATATATATACACATATATTGTGCATGCACACACACACACACAATTATATATGTATACTTACATAAAAATTATTTTAACAGCAAGGCAGTTAGTATGGCTTGCCCCTCCTCTACATGACTGTCTTTCTTGAGTAAAAGCACAAAAGGCAGAGACTTGAGTCCTGCCACCTGTTTTCAGTTTTTCGCATCTATACTAAACTAAAGCAAAGGGTTAATGAGGCTTCCAGAAATCATGCCACCTGCATAGTTAAACACAATAAATACAAGAAGTTGTTATCTTACAGGAATTGCCTTTGTGAAGGCTTTTAACCTCTTAATTACACTCTTGAAAAGACTCCTGCTATTTCAAAGGTTTCAAGAAATAATTCCTATTGTAAATCAGAAACCAATGCAAGAACCACCTTGTGAACAGAAAATTCCTGTATGAAACAAGAAATTGAATCTGTGCACACCTTTATCTGACAGGCACAACCCTGTTTAAGCAAACAAAAGAATAATAGTTTTCTTTTCTTCAAAGAGGTCTCTTTTGCCGGTGATCGTCTTTCAGGTGATAGTAGCTTTTCTGTACAAACCCATATCATTCCATCTTGGGTCTGCGACACAGCTGTCTAAAGGCTTCCACTGACCACTCCTATTCTCCCTCTGTTTTAATTCTGTCACAAAGTATCGGTCCTTTACATAGACTGCACAAACTGTATTTGGTTTACTTCTTCAACTTCTTCACCCAAGGCAAAAAATATTTGCAACAAAGCCTGAGTGAGACTGTCATTTTGTTTAGAAACTGTGCGGAAATTTAACAGTCTCTTTCAGGGCAACAAAGGAACTCTTGTTTGCTTGGCTTATCGTGTTTTGGTCCAGAATGTGTATAGAGTGATGTGATCTCAGCAAGATTTTTTTGTTTGTTTAGCAGAAAGAAAATCTAATAGAGTCACTAGACCAGCATTTTCTCATGACTTTTTCAAAGATCAAAGGAAAGAACTGTAACCTCAAAAGTATACGGCTGAGATATTTCAGTCTGTGTCTGGTCAATAAAGAAAAAAGGCACTGACCAAATAACAATTATAAGATAATTAATTCTTAGGGCTGTTTCACCTTTAGAAACCTTAACGAATGCTTTGTATATTAAGGAGGTGAATGTTGTTCAAGACAGACATAAAAACCTGGGAGCTAATACAGCATGTGTGTCTGTGTAGTGGTAAGTTATATACAGATGACAAAATTTTGCTGAAAATCAATTCATTTCATTAATTCTGTTCTTCAGATTTTGGCTGAATTGAATGTATGCAAAAGATGTTAACCTTCTGGTGGAACTTCTTTATACACAAAAAAAGAAGAGCATGTTCAACACAGTACATTTCTCAACCAATACATCTTAACTCTAACCAGACTGGATAGCTTGGTACAGATGCTCACTCTATCCTTGTCATCGTTTAGACTTTTACCAGTGATGCTGGTGATCAGTGCACACTGTAGCAACATTTTTTGTGATAGTTATTTGAACTTCCAGATTGACTTCCACATTTCGATCTTGGAACTTTTTAGGAAAATAATTTTATTTCAAAGTAATTCTGTGAAAATATAAGGTGGTCAACTAAAGCACAGAGAAGAGTCAGCTGATATTTTCCTCTGTCCAAAGAACCTGCCTGCTTATCTTCAATCGTCTAGATATTTTATGCTGCACATTCAAAATGAGTAGATACTTTACAAAATTTAGCCATTCTTTTTCTATCAGGTGACAAAGGAATTCTGTGGGTAATTCAGAAACATACTCTATTTACTGCATCCTGCATTGAGACAGCGAGAATGGCCCTGTGGTTGCAAAATGTGAACTGCAAGTATAGCAGAAGGAACTCATGATACTCAATTGACTGAACAAGAACATCGCAGATGAATTTTGGTATAGATAGGTGTCAAGTAAGGCACTTGCAGAAAAGGCAATTCAAACCTTACATGACAAACTCTTGAGTAGCTACTAACATGCTAGAAAGAGGTCCCACAGTTGTAATAAGTATGAAAATAACAGCTCAGTGCTCAGTAAAGGTTAAAAAAATTAAGCAAAACAATGTTTGGGGAGTTAGTAGGAAAGCAAACAAAACAGCATGCATAATTCCCCTCTATAAATCCATGGTGTGCAAACACTTTAAACATGCTGTGCAGGTCTGACCCCTCCTTGACTCGTCTCAAATCAAATATATGAGAACTGAAAAAAAGTTCAGTAAAGAGTGACAAGGATGACCAGAGGAAGGGAATAGCTCCCACATGAGAAACAATCCTAACAGCCTACATCTGAAAAACATGACTAATGGGGATACAACAGAGGTCTATAAAATCTGGCGTACATCAATAGGGAACTGCTGTTTCCACTTTCTCCTGATGCTGCACTTAGGGAACATCAAATGTGGTGGGAAGTTCCAAGTAAATAACAGGAGGTACTTCACCATGCTACACAGGGCTAGCTGATCAGCAGATACGCTGCCAGAAAGAATCCTGAGTGTTACATTGGCTCAAAACCCAATCATACAAACTCGTAGAAGAAAATTTTTTAAGAGCTACTAAATTCAAAGAAGCCACAATAGGCTCAGTGAGTCCCTGAGTGCAAACCTCCAGTAGCTGGGACAGTTCACCAAAGGAGTATTATTATATTCTTTGCCTAGCTTTCCTTTGGCATCTGCTGTTGAAGACTGGATACCAGGCTAGGTCAGCTTTTAGCATGACCTGGTACAACCATCTTTATGTTATGGGGCAGAAGCACATCAAAATAATTTCATTCATACCATGAAGCAGCCAATCCTCACTCCTGCTCTAGCAGTTCTGGCAGGAGTTCTGTTAAAACTGAAGCTCGTGGACTGAGTCAGCATGGCACAGTCAAGAACTATAAATACAGAGACCTGCCTGAAGCACAGAATATAATTAAGCATCCTCTAGTATACTTTGTTTCATGAGTTAATAGTGTTTTGCACACCGGTTAAAAAGAAAAAAATTACACCAAATGAAAAAAACCAAGGGAGTAATTTGGGATTCTTTCTCTTCCCCTGTAACGAATCTTAACAAGAAACCATGGGAAAGACCAGAGCTCAAGGGACCATATTCTTCTTGACAGACAGAAAGCATTGCAGGGCAAGGAGTGTCTTCTCAGACGGTGAACCAGTTTATAACGCTGCAAAGAAGCTGTCAGTGTCCTGAAATTACTGGAATGAAATCAGTCGCTTTTGATGTTTAATTGAGAGTACAATTCTCTCGAAAAGCAGCTCAAAGAGAGTTAAAAGGAAAAGTTGATTCAGCACATTATTAAGTGATATTAACAGGTAATTAATAGGTAATCATATAGTATTGTTCATGCAAGGTTACAAGTTGATTTATCAAGTATACTCACAGAGACTGTAGGCTGCGCAAGTTCTGGAGTGCTTCAGTAGGAACCTGGCGTAGTTGGTTATTCTGCAGCATCCTACATTTTGAGAAGCACAAAACCCAGAATCAACACAGTAAAGATAATTTCTTTCTATTTTAAATTCTCCTCCAAGCTTACCTCCTTTGTAGTAGTTCTACTTCAAGATTGCACACAAAGGAAAGCTACACATATACTCCATTCCCCTGCCCCTGTCAAATGCCAGTTCTCTTCAAAGCAAACAAATACCTATAGCATATTAGCTTTGTTAACAGCTACACATCAGCTTTGAGCAGGATTTTCAAAGCAGCTGAGGAACTTAAAAGAATAAATCCGATTTGCTTTCAATAGGCCTTGAGCTCCTAATTGCCTCCAGTGATTCTGAAATGGTCTCCTCATGTACTGATTTTGTTTTCCTTCTGAAGTGCTTCAGTTTTTTACTCTGATAAAGCTGTTAAGGACTGATTCTTGAAATCCTTACTCAGGAAAATGCTACTAGGGCAAACAGAACTTTTAACTGTATGAGGAGTTTGTGATTTGGTTTGAATAAAATTTTATCTCTGTAAAAAATGCTGGATTTTTCCCAATGAAATCAATTTTCTCAAATGGAACATTGCTAGCAATGACCTGACAAATCTCTTTTCTGAAATATCACATCATTTAGCTTGCAAAGAATGAAAAATCACTTTTTATTCCAAAATAATCTTTTTCTCCCTTTGAATATGGCCCAATAATCCTTGTTTGGACCAGCTCCTATGTATATAAAAGGATTCTATGTGGGTAAAACTGAAGTAGTACATGCTGCCTTCAAAATGAGGCATACTCAATGGGACAATGTAAATGAAATAATTTTTGGCAGGCCTAAATCTCCTTAGGCCAACAAGAGCTACAGCTGGCCAACTTAAGAGTAGACAGAGTGAGAAACTCTTCATACTTCTTTCCCACTTATGTATTTTTTTCAGTAGAGCTTTGTATACTCTTACAGTAGCATCTGGTTTGGCTTGATGCTGCCTAGGAGGTTGGCATTCTTGCTAATAATACAGCTTCTGTGAACTTTACATAGGCAAAGATCCCCTCTAGTATAAATATTGTGAGACGTGGCCTGCTAGTAATTTTAGTAACTATATGTACTGTCTTATTACTCCAAATAATACAGGGTTTTGTCATATTTTTATAATTTATCTTAAAGTAATTGCATGGCAAAAACCAAGATATGAAATACAAACTGCATTTTAAATTACATGGTGCTCTACAATAATGGGTTTCCCCCCCGGCTCTCAAGCAAAGGAAATGGCAATTTACCCCCAGTTTTGTGCGATCATGAAAAGTCCACGAGTTTTAGACTTGAAATCAGAACTTTTGAGACAATTAAAGAAACTATTAACCGAACCAATTTTACCTTTGATATTGTACAGAGACATCCACTTGATGAGCAAGTTGTTTTTAGAATGCCATTAATGTTTTCCAACCTTTGTGTTTAGGATATTTTCTATATGAAAAACCAAAGATTTAATGATGTTCATATGTATCTTCACTTCAGCTGAATTGTTCAAAATGAGCTGATCAAAATATGTAATTTACTTGATCAAAACTTCACTGGTTAATTAGTTCCCTGGAGCATTTAGGAAATCAGAAATATATCAAACAACACACAGTTTACTTACAGCACTTTAAGACTGAAAAGGCCAGCAAATGCTCCCTTAGGAATGTATGTCAAGCCATTTCCTGCAAGACGTCTGCAAAGTTTGAAAAAGGAAAAGAGAGTGAATACTTTTTCTCTTCATGTGGAATTAATTTGGTTGTTAAAAAGTGCAATACAGCTATGTTTGAGCGACTGATGCCAGAGGCAGTAGTTTAAGAGCCTTGTCATTAATACACTTTTAAAAGCAAAAAAAAAGAGAAGCCCTTAACTGTACAGTTGATTTACTGACAGCTGAACTGCAGAGACAAAAATGCAATTTCATTGCAAACTGAGCTCATGGTTTAGAATGCAAATCTAATTCTTCATATTGTTCTTTTTAAGGATTAGAGCAATCTCAGCAATTAAAATATACTGACAACAATCAGAATAACTGGATTTACAGGCATGTACTTTTTAAATTGTGCATGTATGATGTCTGTGCACATTTAACTCATTTGCACATAGTATCCACATAGTAACGACCACAGTTCATTTTAAAATAACTACACACAAACCTGCTGTACTAGTGGAATCATATTTTTCCCTGTGAGCAGATGTGCAACAGGTTGGCATAAAGTGTTTTTGCTAAAGTTTGTAGGGCTTTTTTCTATTGCATCTTCTTAGAATGCCTGAAAGTATTCGACAGACCTAGGTAAATACAGCACATGCCTCTGTAAAGTGTGTTACTGACAAAAAAAGAATGCATTCTCTAAGGTTTGTGCCTAGGAAAGAGATCATGTTTCTGATGTGGAATAATGGCATTTTTATGTTCCCCATCAACACAACTCCAGAGCATCTTGCTTTTACCCTCCTAACATCTCAATTCAGCGTAAATGTGCTGTGATACCTGTACCCTAGCTGGAAAACTGACTGGTAGGTGTCAGATTCCCAGTCAAGTTACTGTGTGTCAGTAAAGCCATAGTGTCTGCTCTTAGCTGGCAACAATTGCAGATTGGTATGATGTAACCCTCTTCTATTTGCAGACCAAGTTAAGCCAGGTGGAACTGGCATTTCCCATCAGCTAAGATATTGCACAGCAAAATTGCAGACAGTTACCACAGACCAGCTGATTTGATAACAGAGTTGACATTTGATTTGGCCTCTGGCCCCTTAGGAAAGACCACAGGACTAGATCCAGAAAATGTCTTAGGTACCAAGCTGCCAGAGAGGAACCTACAGCACTGAAGCAGGCACCAGAGTTGCCAATACTGTTCATGGAAAAGGCCAGGTGCTGATGACTGCAGTCCCACAGATCCAGCACTGACTGGCCCTTAAATGTTCTCTCCCTTTGGAGTTTAGTTGCCCCAAGCCAACTACAGGGTCCTGAGCACACCTTCTCTTTAGACATCTCTTTTATACAGAAAATAAAAACAAAAATTGGGCCATAAAGAAAGAAAACATGATTCTAGATCCCAGCTCCGAAGACTTTTCAGGCATTTTCAATTTGTGGAAAAGGCTCTTCCCTGTACACATACACCTGCTAGGCGATGTGACCTGTAACTCTGAGCAAGTGGCTCTTCCTCTCTCTGTTCCATAAATTTAATTGTGCGCTGCAGAGGTGCTCATCTTCAGACAGAGCTGCTGAGCTTGTCTCACTTTGGAGTAGACTGGAGTCTGATGTTCAGACATCTGAGAATTGGGCACATGCACCTGAATTCCTGCAGGCAGATGAGTGAACCAAACCTGGCTCAGTCTTGCTCCAAGGTGAGGCACTCACAGGCTGAGCCTATTTTTTTTCAGATGTGTGAGGGCTTTCTCCAGCCTCAGCTTTCATTCTGAACAAAAATGGCAATGACTTTTGGGTTGTTGCTGGATCAAGCAGGTGTGTGCTAGGTTATGCACATGAGGCCGGGTCCCTGAAAGTAAATGCCATTTATGGCTCACTGACTAGTAGAGGCTCAGGACCTATCTAATGCTGATCTCAGTTTATGATATGATTTTTTTTAGAAACTAAAGACTGCTTCATAGCACCCTTTTGCTCTGTTATTTTAATGACATGACTGGACATGAGCCTGGCATGAACCAGAAAGTAAGGAGTCTGCAAAACTACTGGAAAGAGAGAAGGTACAGGTATTGAGGTTTTCACTTACAGCTGTAAGATACTGGTTTGAGTGTCATATGGAAAACTTGATAAAGAGCAGAGGACTAAACCTACATGTCTAAAGACTCAAGCTGGTGCTCTGTCAGGCCACCATCCCTTCTTCAGAGTGGCTGTGTTGCAGTAATTTTCATAATTCATAGAATCATAGAATGCTTTGGGTTGGAAGGGACCTTGAGAGGTCATGCAGCCCAACCCCCCTGCAGTGAGCAGGGACAGCTTTAACTCCATCAGGTTGCTCAGAGCCCCGTCCAACCTCACCTTGAATGTTTCCAACGATGGGGCCTCCACTACCTCTCTGGGCAACCTGTTCCAGTGCTTCACCACCCTCATTGTAAAAAATTTCTTCCTTATACCCAGCCTAAATCTATTCTTCTTTAGTTTAAAACCATTACTCCTTGCCCTCTCACAACAGGCCTTGCTAAAAAGATTGTCCCCATCTTTCCTATAGGCCACAATCAGGTCTCCCCACAGCCTTCTCTTCTCCAGGCTGAACAACCCCAACTCTCTCACTGTTAAACTGAGATGTGATTTTTTCCTCTTTTTTTTGTTTCAGATTCCAACCCTAGTTTTATATTCCGCTTCTTTTCCTTTTAGATCACAACTTCTCAATTTTAAAATATGTCTTGTACAAACACTTTAGACAGATGAAACCACATGTTAATCTTCTTTTTGGTAGTCACAGCTTCTGCATTTACTCCCTATGAGTTTTTCAAACCTCAGGTCATACTTGAAGTTCTGCTTTGAATATTTTTCAGTTTGGAAAGAGCTCTCACTAATTTTGCAGACAGCAATTAATACTATCATATATGATACTCCTCTGCTTATGCAGCAGAAGATCACGCTCATCATGTATGGCTCTACATACTTCAGTAGAGGGCTACATCAAATGTATCACAAATGCCAAAATACATGTATGTCTGTAGTTCTCTCACCAGGCAAACTGACAATGTGCGAAAGGTAGACATCTGGCAACAATTATTTTCTAGGTAATGATGTTGTCTGACCTTCAGTCACCATATTCAATTCTTTCTCATTACACCCTTTTCATGATTTTCTGTGGAACCGACTTCAGGCAAACCACTTATCTATTCCCAAGATGCTCCATGAGACCACTTCTGAACACTGGCACAACAGTAGCATCTTCCCAGCCCTTTGGAATTCCCCAGCATTGTGGCATTTGCTAAAAAATCAGCAAAAATTATTCATTGGGATCATTGTCTAATTCTTTCAGTATTCTTGGATGAAAGTTAGCACACCAGTTCTTTAAGGCATGCTGCAAAGCTCATTAAGTTTGACTTATTTGTTCCTAACCATTTTTAATGCTTTCCTTTCGGGTTTTTCCTGCTATTACTGTGTTTCTATTTTCAGTCTTGGCATAGAGGAAAATGAATCCCCTGGTTGACACTACAGTATCTATCAGACATCTATCACAGTTTACTCTTCTCCACTTCAGGGATTTTGTTTTCCATTACCCTAAATTATTTGAGGGAAGCTGCCCAGCATTTTACTGAACTTTGGATGGACTTTGGGTAGTGATTTCAGTCTGGACGGGTAAATACCGCTTTCCCTGAACAGATGAGGATGGACATACTATCTGTCTCTATAGTTCAGCATTTAGTTAATGATTTCCAAGAGCAGGAA